GAAAATATGGGGAATCTGTTTATTTGTGTGTATTTATTTGTGTGCCCCAGGGCCCCTTCGAGAGCGTGGGAGGCCCTCAGGCAGGGGCCCCGCAGGAGCTCCGCGGGGGCCAGGCGCACACCCTTCGGATGGGGCCACCCGCGGGGGGGCAGCCTCGGGGCGCCTAATTGGGGGCCAGGTCGGGGCACGTGCCGTGGCTGGAGCCGTGGCCCCCCGACGCCTCCCTGCCGATCTGGACCGCTCTGGCCTGACCGTGACCTCCGTCCTCTCCATCTCTCTCTCGATTGTCTCTCTCTCTCTCTCCCTCTATCTCTCTCTCTCTCTCTTTTTCCACTCCCTCTCTCTCTCTCTCTCCCCTATATCTCCCTCCCTCTCTTTTTCCACTCTCTCTCTCTCTATCTCTCTCTCCCTCTCTCTCTCTCTTTTTCCTATATCTCTCTCTCTCTTTCCACTCCCTCTCCCTGAGACAGACACAGGTGGCAACACGGGAGCAAGGCCTTCCCGGCCGACGCAGGGGCAACACCCCAGAGGAGGAGGAGAAGGAGGAGGAGGAAGAGGAGGAATAGTAATAGTATGAATCTTACTAGTGGTAAAACATAACATACGAATACTAATGATACTAGTACTACCAAACATAATAATGATACAACAACTCAGAAAACGAATGCGGGAACTAAGGATAGTACAAACAAACATAACATGACAACAATGCGAATGCTCATAATGATATCCAGAAAACTAAGAGTAATGAGACGAAGACGAGCATGTGTACTACTAACCATAACAATACTACTAATCACAGTCCTAAAGATGATACACATAAGAACACTAACACTAAGAAACACACCAATGCGAATATCAATAGACTGCGATTACGAGGACTACCAATACCATTCAACATACTACTACCACAACTGTTTGTAATACGTGTGAATGCTAGAACATGCAACTTTAAATAGTATCAGTACTTCCCTTCCAATATATTTCAGCTTCTTCTTCTCCTCCTTTTTAATAATTTTCATTATTCGTTGATACTAACAATAGTACTACTCATCACACGACTATTACTACTGCTACGACTACTACTACCACTACTACTACTACTACTACTACTACTACTACTACTACTACTACTACTACTACTACTACTACTACTACTACTACTACTACTACTACTACTACTACTACTACTACTACTACTACTACTACTACTACTACTACTACTACTACTACTACTACTACTACTACTACTACTACTACTACTACTACTACTACTACTACTACTACTACTACTACTACTACTACTATTACTAATCATCATAATACCAATTATCGTAATTAAAAAAGGGTCAAGCCATAAGATGAGGAGGAGGATAAAGAGGAGGAGGAGGAGGATAAGGAGCAGGAGGAGGAGGATGTGGAGGAGGAGTAGGAGAAGGAGGAGGGGGCGGAGGATGTGGAGGAAAAGGAGTAGGAGGAGGAGGAGGAGGGGTAGGAGGAGGAGGAGGAGGGGGAGGGGGAGGAGGAGGAGGAGGAGGAGTAGGAGGAGGAGGAGGACGAGGAGGAAGAGGAGGAGGAGGAGGCGGAGGAGGAGGAGGAGGGTAATCCGGGTTTGTCTCAGCGCCCTCGAGGGCCAGGCGGGGGGCGGGAGCCTTGCGGCGTGCGGTAGTCATGAAGATGGTAAGCCCTTCCCCCGATGGAGAAGAACCCCTTCCCCGTAGGAGAAGAGGATGGCTTGGAGGAGTTGGCTCCGTAAGCCGCCTGAGCGACGCAGAACAACGGAGTCGTCTTCACCGACACTGGCGCGTAAGCTGCCCGAGGTCGCGCGTAGGCGCCCTCGTTTTCAGTGTGGCGCGCCACGCTGGCGGCCCGCGCAAGCCGCGGTGTAAGGTCGCTATGCCATCTTGCGGAAGACCCCTTTTTTCCCTCTCGCTCACCTGCGCCCAGAGGGCTGGTAGGACTGCCTGTCTTTCTCTCACGACACCTGCTGCCGCTCCTCCTCCCTGCTCGTGCCCACACCGGGCCGCGCCGAGCTCTGCGACCCCCCCGCTCCGCCAGGTAGCCTCCGGACGGACTGCCGCACTCGAGGCAACCGGCGGCACCTTCGGCGACTTCTGCAAGAAGGCGGGCAGCCCTATATCTGGCTGTCTCGTCCATGCTCGTCTCTGCCCTGCCTGTCTCCATCGCCAGCTCTGTTTCTACTCCTGTCCTCTCTCTCTCTGCCTCCGTCTCTGTCTCTGACTCTGCCCCCGTCTCTCTCTATCTCTGACGTCCGACTCGATGACGACGGCAGCGGAGGATGAGGAGGGTGAGGAGGATGAGGCGGATTGCAGATGGGAGGAGGAGGAGGAGGAGGAGAAGGAGGATGGCAGATAGGAGGAGGAGGAGGAGGAGGAGGAGGAGGAGTAGGAGGAGGAGGAGGAGGTGGATGAGGTGGAGGATGGAGAAGGATGGAGGGGGATGGAGGGGGAGGAGGTGGAGGATGGAGGAGGATGGAGGGGGATGGAGGGAGAGGAGGATGGAGGAGGATGAAGGAGGGACGAGGAGGAGGTGGATGAGGATGAGGATGAGGATGATGCTGATGCTGATGACGATGATGAGGAGGATGATGATGATGATGGTGGTGGTGGTGATGATGCTGATGGTGATGATGATGATGGTGGTGGTGGTGATGATGATGTTGATAATGATGACGATGAGGAGGAGGAGGGTGGTGGTGGTGGTGTTGGTGATGATGATGCTGATGATTGTGATGATGAGGAGGAGGAGCAGGAGGAGGAGATGGTCGTGATGATGATGCTGATGATGATGAGGATTATGCTGATGCTGATGACGATTACGACGATGCTGATGATGGTGATGATGATGATGATCATGATGACGTTGTTGTTGATGACGATGACGGTGGTGATGGTGATTATGATGCTGTTGATGATGTAGTGGATGAAGATGATGATGAGGAGGACGACGAAGACGATGACGATGACGATGACGATGACGATGACGATGATGATGATGATGATGATGATGATGATGATGATGATGATGATGATGCTGATGCTGATGCTGATGGTGATGGTGATGGTGATGGTGATGATGGTGATGGTGATGATGATGATGATGATGATGATGATGATGATGATGATGATGATGATGATGATGATGATGATGATGATGATGATGATGATGATACTGGAGACAATCCCAATCATAATCTTTTATGGCTATGGGGCTACAGGGCTATAGGGCTATAGGGCTATGAGGCTCTGGGGCTATAGGGGCATAGGGCTATAGGGCTATAGGGCTATAGGGCTATAGGGCTATAGGGGTAGAGGGCTATAGGGCTATAAGGCTATAAGGCTATAGGGCTATAGGGCTACATGGCTATAGGGCTATAAGGCTATAGGGCTATAGGGCTATAGGGCTATTAGGGCTATAGGGCCATAGGGCTATAGGGGTATGGGGCAATAAAACTATGAGGCTATAAGGTTATAAGGCTATAGGGCTAAAGGGCTACCGGTCACCCAGTCACACGGGCACCCGGGCACCCGGGTACGCGGGCACCCGGGCACCCGGGCACCCGGGCTCTCGGGCACGGCACTGGGGCACCCGGGCACGCACCCGGGCGTGCCGCCGAAATCGGCGCCAAAAAACCTCACTTAACCATCTGAATCCGCTAAGACCCCTACAGAGGCAAGCTGTGATTGGGTAACGTTGCTGATGATGGCGGTGTTGATGATGACGATGATGGTGGTGATGGTGATTCTCCAGATAGGCTTGCCCTGTAGGAGTCTAGCTCATTATAAGTAATTGGTCTTTAGTGCCCCCCTCCCTTTTTCCAATGGCACCCGCCCTTATTTTCAATCGCCCCCCCTCTTCCCCTCCCCCCTTATGCCAATGGCCTTTTGCCATGGCTGTTCGCTTCTTTTTGGTTGCCATTTCATGCTTGGCTTCCTCTCCTTCCGTCCTCTCCTCCTCGTCTTCTCCTTCTCTCGCTCTTCTCCTGTCTATCTATCTATTTGGCGTCAACGCTGGCTCATATGATGATGATGCTGTTGATGATGTAGTTAATGATGGTGAGGAGGAGTACGACGATGATGATGCTGATGATGATGATGCTGATGCTGATGGTGATGTTGATGATGGCGCTGCTGATTATGATGATCATCATGCTGATATGGGAGGACCATGAAGACGACAACGGAAGAGAGGGAGGATGTCGACGACGACAAGAAGGAATATATACGTGCGGGACTGGCGTACCGATGAACATGATGAGTACGACGTCGGGGATGATGCTGATGCTGATGCTGATGCTGATGCTGATGCTGATGCTGATGCTGATGCTGATGCTGATGCTGATGCTGATGCTGATGCTGCTGCTACTGATGATGCTGCTGCTGATAACGATTTTGATGATGATGGCGATGATGAGGTGCTGATGATGCTGCTGCTGTTGCTGCTGATGATGCTGATGGTGTTGATGGTGATGGTGATGTCGATGGTGATGATGAGGATGATGATGAGGATGGTGATGATGTTGATGATGGCGATGGTGATGGTGATGGTGATGGTGATGAGGCTGATGATGTTGATGATGATGGTGATGGTGATTATGATGATGCTGATGGTGATGCTGATGATGTTATTATTGTGATGATTATGATGATGAGGTTGTCGTTGTTTATGCTGTTGTTGATGATGATGGTGACATGAACAACTATTGTTTTTGTGGCACGGTGTGGACACGGAGCTGAGGGGGCTCCTCGGCGTCAGCGGTAATAGACGCCGATCCGTGCGCAACGTTCTGGGCCAGACGCTTCCTCCTGCATTAGTTGGCGGCAGTGACGCTCTGCATTCTGTCCATGCGGCCTTGTCTCCTGTCGAGCTTGGGTCTGCTAGCGCAGCCAGGTCCCGCTGGGCTAGCAGCGGCGCGAGCCCCGGGCTTCGTTGCACGAGCGCAGCCAAGTCGCGCTGGGCCAGCCGTGTCGCGAGCCCTGAATGGCCTGGAGGCAGGGGAGAGTTCGCTGAGACCACGGGGAAGGGCAGGCTGAGGGAGGCAGGAGGATCGCCTGCAGCGCAGGGACGGACTTGCAAACCATGCCGGATCAGTATAACAGGCGCCCCCGCCTCAGAATCTTGTCAGTGGAAGCCAGTTGTAACTTCTGCAGTGCCTCCAGATAGCGAAGGCGGTGTTTTCCAGGGATGGGAAAACGACGCTCATGTTTCTGGGCGCGGCGCGTAGATGCAACGTGCACAACCAGTGTGTATCGCGAAGGCCTTACGGCCGGTGCCGCCGACCCTGAAGGGGAACGACGACGACATCGGCGGCGGCGGCGACGACGACGACCACGACGCTGACGTGGGCCAGAGGGATGCCTCTCTTAGGGTATCTTCGGAAGGCTCCCGGGAGCCTCCGGAGAGGAATTTTGAGGCCTCTTTGGAGCCTCTTGGAGGGCTTCTCGGGTTTCCCAGGGACCTCTTGTAGGGCTTCTCGGTGCCTCTGAGGAACCTCTTGTGGCCTCCTGGGAGCCTCTCGGGGCCGAGGGCTCGAAATGTCCGTTCGGGACCCCCGTCTGGGCACGCTCTTGTAGCCGTCTTGAGGGCCGCTTGGGCCGTCTGCGAGGCGTCGTGGGGTGCCTTGGGGTCCTCTTGGGGTTTTTCCCGGAAAGGGCGCAGGCCCAGGGTTCTCTTTTAGTATGTAAACAATGTCCCCGTGCCCAACTTGAAGGAGGCCGGCGGATTCTTTCCCTGATAAATATCGAGGTCGAAGGAGGCCGGCGGATTAAAATTTGAGGATGTCTCAGGCGAAACGCTTGTTTTTGAAATCCCGATCGATAAATCACAGGGTGCGGGCCACCTCAGCACGACCACACCCCAGCACGACCACACCCCAGCACGACCACACCCCAGCACGACCACACCCCAGCACGACCACACACCCAGCACGACCACACCCCAGCACGACCACACCCCAGCACGACCCCACCCCAGCACGACCACACCCCAGCACGACCACACCCCAGCACGACCACCCCAGCACGACCCCACCCCAGCACGACCCCACCCTAGCAAGACCACACCCCAGCAAGACCACACCCCAGCACGACCTCACCACAGCACGACCACACCCCAGCACGACCACGCCCCAGCACGACCACGCCCCAGCACGACCACGCCCCAGCACGACCACGCCCCAGCACAACCACCCCCCAGCACGACCACCCCCCCAGCACGACCACGCCCCAGCACGACCACCCCCCAGCACGACCACACCCCAGCACGACCACTCCCCAGCACGACCACACCGCCTTGGTTGAGTGGTTGCCTGTCGTCGTGGAATGTTTCGTGGGGTGTCTCGTGGAATGTTTCGCGGGGTGTCTCGTGGAATGTTTCGTGAGGTGTCTCGCGGAATGTTTCGTGAGGTGTCTCGTGGGATGTTTCGTGAGGTGTCTCGTGGGATGTTTCGTGAGGTGTTGCCCCGTTGGGTATCGTGAAAACGTGTTCATGCTCCACATGTCTATATCCCTTTCCGGGTTCGTGGGTCCATCATGTTGGGGGCCCTCTTGGAGGCCTCTTGGGCCGTCTTGGTGCTATCTTTGGGGCCTCTTGGGCCGGTTTGGAGCGGCGGGAAGCGGAAGAGGCGAGAACGCCCAAATCCTGACAGAACCAAAGGGACATCAATCAATTTTACCTCGTGGTGCCCTTCTCGGGAGTGCTCTTGGAGGCTTCTTGGGTCGTCTTGGCGGCAGTCTGGAGGGCGTGAAGGCGTTTGGGACCGATAGTTTGGCGATGCGGGGCCCTCTTGGACCGTCTCGGGGGCCTCTTGGGGCACTCTTGGCCTGTCTTGGTTCTGAGGCCCCGGGACCCCCAGGGGGGACGCGTATCTGACCCTTCCCCCCCTGGGCCCCCCCCCGGGCCCCCCCCCCCAAGACCCCCCCAGGACCCACCCCGGGACCCCCCCCCTACCCTTTCCAGGACCCCCCCCCACGGGGGAGGGATCAAATGGAAGGGGCTTCCCTTCGACTCGATAACGGCATTGCTAGATTTCTATCTCGCTGACAAGCTTGAGGAGGAGGGTGCACAGAAAGGGAACGACGGAGCCGACGACTGACGGAGACGACGACTCGAACAGACAGGCCACTCACACACGCCGACAGGGCCGGCGGATTTGCGTGAGGGCGTCCACAATTCGGAATTATAGAGAAGCATTGGAAAATCATAGCCTCAGCTGTGCGCTCATCTGCTGTACTCAAGGACTCTCCCGCAGAAGGCTGTGGTACACCGCAGATGCTTCCCGCAGTCTTGCACGTATGTCCAAGGCAGAGGACGGTCTCCCAGGCTTCATGGATCCTAGGTTTTTTCATTCACCCACCACCAAGCAGGCGACGCCTGGGACTCCAGAGGGCCAAGACAGGGCGCTCGCCAATCATCGCCTCTGCCTTGGCAGCCCCGCCCTTGTCCCTCCACACGATGAGGGCCTCTGCCTGCTGGGCTTCCAGTTCGGCTGCATGCCGTGCCTCGCCGTGCTGGTGTGTGCTGCTTCGGCTACCAAGTTGCGGTTGAGGCTCGAGCTGCCTTTGCCCATGAGTGATGTGGCCTCATCGTTGATACAGTCGGGGCCCTGAAGAAGGAACCCTTTTCGTTGGGGAGGGGCTCCGTGTTCCTTAAGTGTTTCGCAGCTTGCCTGGGATTTTCCTTAGGTTTTCGATACGAAATCGAAGTTCAACTTATGGAAAATAGGGGCCTCGTTCCTTATTTAGGGTTCCTTGGGTCAACGCCTCGACTGTAGAAGTGAATTCCCCACTTGGCACGGTGTGCGTGGGGAAGGCGCCAGGCCGGCAGGCCCATGGAGGGCCACCAGGTTCGCCCTCCGCGGCGAGTGTCGGGTCGAGCTCGTCAAGCACCCCTCCAAGCTCTCGCGAGGCCGCGCTGCACATAATCTGTAGGTGTCAAGGTTCCGAAGCGGCAGCCTTGGCGCGAGCTCCTGGCTGTCTGGAGAACCGCGCCCTCTGGGGAAACCGCGAACCATGTATCCTTGTGCAAGTGGGCAACGAAGCTGATGAGGTACTCGGGGACTTCAATCTGATGTAAGATGCCGCCACGCTATATAAGGGAGTCGACCAGATGCGATGCCGCTGTGTCTTCAGCTCCTACTTTCTTGAGCAGCGCGTTGATGCCCGTTGCGGTAGTAAAGCCAGCTTCAAGGCGAAAATGCAGTTCTGCGTACCAGCGATGACGACGATGATCCCAGTGCTGCTGCTGGTGACGAGGAGGAGGAGGAGGAGGAGGAGGAGGAGGAGGAGGAGGAGGAGGAGGAGGAGGAGGAGGAGGAGGAGGAAGAGGAGGAGGAGGACGAGGAGGAGGAGGAGGAGGAGGCGGAGGAGGACTGAGTGACGAGGACGTGGAGGTCAGTAAGCGGATTTCAGCCGCACGGTAGCGGCGCCGCACGCGCGCCCTCAGGAGTTCGACGCGAGCGCCGCGAAGCCCATGCCGCTGGTGTGGGCGCGGCTCCCCAGGCGTGGCGCGGGTTCTCGAAGGGGAAATAGGGGGACACATGCGAACCCTACCCCTACCCCCCACGATTTCTGAGGGGGAGGGTGGGGTTCACTTTGCTGGGGAGCTCCCGAGCGAAGTGAACCCCACCCTCCCCCTCAGAAATCTTGGCGGGTAGGGGTAGGGTTCGCATGTGGCCTCCTAAAAGGAGTGTACTGGGGGTCTGGACGTTCGTCGTCTTTCTGCAGGACTTCTGGAGGGCCCTCGCTGCCACGGATCAAATTCAGCATCTTCGAACCGCTTCTCGTCCCCACGGGGCCAAGGCATCTCGGCGCCACCAGCTCGTACACCCCCCGCCCCGGTGGGGACAGTTCCCGTGAAACCCGAAGGGAACAGCTTATACCCCTCCCAGGGGCAAAAATGCCAGCGGGGCCAATGCCACGCCGGAGGGGATGCTTACAATTTCTTTCGACATCATGATCTGAAGGCGTTCTGGGAGGGGCGCCGAGGTCGGCTTGTGGAGGAGGAGGAGGAGGATGAGGACGAGGAGCAGGAGGAAGAGGAGGAGTAGGAGGAAGAGGATGAGGAGGATGAGGATGAGGATGGTGATGATAATGATGGTAATGACGATGATGCTTCTGATGTTGCTGCTGCTGATGATGCTGCAGATGATGCTGATGCTGATGCTGATGCTGCTGATGATGATGATGCTGCTAATGATGCTGCTGGTGATGCTGCTGATGACGATGATGCTGATGATGCTGGTGATGCTGCTGCTGCTGATGCTGATGATGCTGTTGCTGATGCTGATGATGATGCTGCTGATGATTCTGATGCAGCTGCTGCTGCTGCTGATGATGATGATGATGATGATGAATCTGATGACGACGACGTCGCTGATTCTGATTCTGATGCAGCTGCTGCTGATGATGATGAGGATGATGATGCTGCTGGTGATAATGATGATGATGGGGCGGAGGAGGAGGAGGAGGAGGAGGACGAGGACGAGGACGAGGAGGAGAAGGAGGAGGAGGGTTGTAGTTTAGTGCTGAGGAGGAGGAGGAGGAGGAGGAGGAGGAGGAGCTTCAATGAAGGACACCAGGTTACTGTGCAACCGCTGGCGTTTTGCTCAAGAGCCATAGCCGCCGCCAGGTGGTGTGTGCAATTCCAGCGCTAAGCGCTTACTGCAAAACAGAGCCCTATCTTCGCCACGATTGTTCCGATGCATTTGCATGGTAGCGGGGCGAGGGTATGGCAACGACAGCAGATACAGCGGTACATACAACACGACAGGAATGTATTGAATACAACCTTTCCAACTTCGAACCTACTTGCCTTGCTGCGTGCAATCAAGGTGATTGTGAGTTCGTCAAAGCTGACCTGAAGGCTAATCATGACGCAATGACGAACCACCTTGAATAACAAGAGCGTGCGGGTAACCACGACTTGCCCAGCGAACGCGCGATGCCACGAATGAAGATGTTCGGAACGTCTAACGCAGCACTACTGAGCATCTTCAATCGCGATAATCAGCAAGAAACGAAAACCACGCAAATGAAGATGCAAGTCGCCAGATTAGGATACTATCCGAGGAAACAGTGAGCACCAATGCGATCCTCGTCCAGACGGCTGAAAATAGTTAGGGTCTATCAAAAACAAACCCCACCAAAAGGCCCGTGAGGGAACCAACGGCAATCCCATCACTGGAACGCTTCGGCGGAGATCGGACGAAGTTTTCGGGAATGGAGCGACCGACTACCAAGTGCACTGGCACAGGTCAACAATGGGAACCGCAAGGGTCTCTCTTTGTTGCATTCAGGATTAGAGAGAAAGGGTGGATCTCTGCCAGACCTGGGCGAGGAAGGCGATCACATAAGAATGCTCAACTGGCGAATGGCGGCAGCAGCGTGCAACCTTTCATCGGCAGCGAAGACGCTCGAAGAAGGCGAGCGCGAATCTCTCTCTCTCTCTCTCTCTCTATATATACACCCTTTGGACGAGGACGAAATTCTCCAAAAAGGCTTGCCCTATAGGGGTCCTAGCTCATCATACGTTGTTGGTCTTTAGGACCCCCCCCCTTTCCATTGGCACCCCCCCTTATCACCAATGGCACCCCCCTCCCCCCCTTTTTCCACTGGCACTCCCCCTTATTTCCAATGGCGCCCCTTGCTTGCCCTTGTTTGCTTGCATTTGATCGCTTGCCCTTGCTTGCTCTTGCTTGCTTGCACTTGATCGCTGGCTCTTGCTTGCTTGTTGTTGCTCGCTTGCGCTTGCTTGCTTCCGCTTGCTTGCTTGCGCTTGCTTGATTTTGCTCCTCCCGTCCTCCTCCCGTCCTGCTCCCCTCCTCCTTTCGTTCTCCTCCCATCCTCCTCTCGTCTTCCTCTTGTCCTCCTATCTTTTTGGAGTCAACGCTTGCTGATACATCCACAAATTGACGCTGGGGAGTGGTTCCACCACCGGCAGCCTGAGTGTTTTTATGTCACCCGATTTCCTAGCTGGTGAATCCTATCAGAAATTATACGTGCGATGCGAAGTCCAGGCTCGAGCAACAACGACTGGATGCCAATGCGAAGAACAGCGATGCGATGGACATCGGAGGAGCCGGCAAGGAAGAGGGGCGCTGTGAACCAGTAGTAGCCTACCAGGGAAGTTCCGCGGATAATCTGACGAAGAGGGCAACTGGTGGCTCCTGGACGAAGAAGGCAGCGTAGGAAGGAATGACGACCAAGGCTGGGGTGAAGGTTGTGAGTGCAGTCAACAGAGGTAGAGGTGAATGATAGGTCGCATGCCAGAAGGGCGGCAACATTGGCCACGTGGCCAGGGGCTGCAGGGCTGACAAAGAAAAAGGGTTAAAGGCAAGGCAAAAACAGCAACGCAGGCAAAGGAAACCCAGGCAGGCAAGAGGTCCACTACGAGGGTAACTACGGCAGCTACGAGGAAGCTGGCAAGCAATCAGGACAACTAGGGGATGCGCCACGTGGTAGAAGCTACATGCCCATGGGCGATTGTGAATATTACACGTGCGGGCAGAAAACACATATTGCAGCCGACTGCGCCAAGGGGGCCGACGAAGTTGGACAGCCCAGCAATGAACAAGGAACCTGCAGGCCTGGGCAGCCCCGACCAGAGGAGGGCCTAGGGTGCTACGGCGTTGGCTGGGATTGCCCTTGCCTGCCTGAAGCACCATGTGAAAAGCCAGTCAGGGTAAAGAAGAAACTGGCACGTGCAATGAAGCGGCGGTTCAAAAGCAAAAAGACGATGTGTCATAAATACGGCCTGCGTGATGCCACTGGGTGTGAAGACAGTGAATGCGCAGGTGGCCCCCAACTGAGAATGGTAATTCACGGAGCAGACGAGAACCGCGCGCAGTTCCCAGGGACAGTCCAGAATCGAACATGTAAGCTGTGGTGGTCATTGTTGACCCAGGAGCCTAAGACGCTTTCGGGCCATTGGATATCGGGGCGCATTTCCCAGTCAAACATACGTGCGCTTCTAGAAACAGTCGCTGTTGCTGCGCAGCCGACTGGGCCATGCGAGAGAACCGTGGGCGGCGAGTAGTTGCAGGACAAAGCGAAGCAGGTGAAACATGTAACAGTGTCCATGCAAGCCGCCGACGTCGAGGAATCATTGGGATCTGCGCGAGAATTGGCGGATGCCGGTGGCGAGATTGTCTTGGATGGTCGCGGCAGATCGCGCAGTCTACTGGGGCATGAAGTCTCAGGCCAGTGGGCGGTGATCCACAAGCTTGACGGAACCTGCCAATTTACCATTCAGGTTCCTGGAGGAAGTGAAAGCTTGTGCAGGGGGTTGACGGGGCGATGGGCAGTGGGAATTTCCCGCGGCAGGGGCTCTTGCAGCAGAGCCTCGTCCACTAGGCTCCGTCAGACTTCGGGTGCCAATTGAAAGCGCGAGCGGCGAAAAGAGTTGGGGTGAGCAGCGGCCCGTGGGTAGAAGGGCGCTCGGAAGCGACATGGGCGAAGTCGAATCTGCATTCGCGAGCGAAGAAACCGAGCGAGTCAATGGGGGCATCGTGAAACCCTCGCCCCAGCGAAGCAGAAATGGGGGCCGCAATGCTGGCCACTTGCCGCGTCGTGACTAGTGCCCTCTCTGCGCGCCGGGCGAGGGCAGGGGCGGGGCGCGCGCGATGAGGGGCAAGGCCGACGCATATGAAGTGCCAGTTATCTCAGCTGGGCGCACTCGGTCAAAGTGCACATGTTTGGGGGGAATCAAAAGAGAAGGAAGTCGCGGAGCTGGGCCTGGTGACCCAGCGCATGAAAGCCATGCGGAAAGGCAAGGTCGACGTGGGGCAGAGTGGCAGTCAAGGCGGAAGTCGACAATTATTCGGCTGAAGCCATGGCAGATATGGTGTCTTTTGCCGTGCGCAGGCAAGTGTTGCTATCCGGTGTTGAGGGGTTCTCCATGTCGTTCTGACGGAATATGTGAGGTCCCCAGCGTCGATGGCAACGGGAGTTGGAATCAGTCCAGATGGAGGCTCGGCAGCTAGCGGCGACATCAAAAGTGCGCTGGGAACAGTTCCAGGTCGAGTCAGAAACTTCAAAAGCGCAGTAGGCACCAACTGCAGAACCGATCTCGCTGAGGACCGCCACCCGGTACCCTGGATAGTGTCATGCGCTCCATCGCTGATCAATAGAGTTGCCCTCGGAATGGGTGGCAAGACCTCGCGTGATAGGTGCGGTGGGCCCGAGCTCAAAAAGGCTTTTTTGAAATTTGGAGAACGCGCGATGTTCCTTCGACGGGAACCATTGGGGGCGCGCGTTGGAACCTAAATTGGAGTCGGGAGTGTCCCTCGCTATACGTGACAAAAAGTCCATGTGTTCATGGTCGGAGCGAGCCAGGGAGTGACCGGATTGCCAGGTATCGCCGTGAAGGCAGTGATGAGGAAAGTTGGTGTTTCGAAGACGGTTTCCACGGGGGGTCGGCCGTGTTGGCCGGGCCCTCGTGCGATGAGCAGCGCTGTGGTGGCCAGAGTTATTGTGGCCGGGTTTTTTCCGCCAGTGGAATC